CGGCGGCGGCGGCGGCGGCGCCGAACGGCGGCACCGAGTCTCGGTGAGCGGCGGCGGGAGGAGGAGCAGCGGCGGCGCTCGCTCGCTGTTGACGGGAGCGCTTTTGAGCCTGGGAGCCCATGCCACTGCGACCGGCGTGCCCGGGACGGAGATCGCGCGCGCGCCGCCACTCACGACGCGCGCGCGATCTTCGCGGAGTCGGGAGTCCCCAGAGGGAAGCGGTCTTCTCGGCCGACGTCCAGCGGCGCGCAACCCAAGGAAGCGTGCGCAGCGGAGGCGGCCTAGCACCGGCTCGGCGCCGGGCGGTTGCGCTGCCCGCGAGCCGCGTCCTGAGCCTCGGCAGCGCGCTGCGCGGCGCGGCGCTCGCGCCGCTTCGGTGCCGAGAGCGGCATGATGGTTCGCCAGCCGAAGCTCGAGACTCCTCGGGTCGAGCACAATTGCGTTACATGGGCATGGCCGGGGTTTCTGCACCGAACGATCTTACTTTCGGTCTATCGAAAGTGTTGATCGATAAAGAAAGAAAAACATTTTCTTCTCCCTCAGGGGTGCTCCATATTCGGCCGGGCCTCCTGGTCGCCGGGATGGGCCTGGTGCGGGGCCTCCGGAGCCGAGCCGGCTATGAGACGCCGGGTGAGACCGTGGCCGTGGCAGACCTCGCTACCAAGCTCGACGGCCTCGAGGTGGACGGCGAGGAGCCACCGCCATCGATCCCGGCGCCGCCCGTGCGAGGGCTCAAGAACCTGGGTGCGTGCGAGAGTGAGGAGAGGGAGGAGGCTAGTATCCCCGAGTGCGGCTCGCGAGGGGCGGGAGGCTGGCCGGACGGCGCACCAGAGAGGGCCGAGAGGCTTTGTGGAGCCGCTCGTGAGCGACGCTCCACCGCATGCAGGGAACACGTGCTTCCTCAACTCGGTGCTTCAGAACCTGATGGCGGCGGAGCCGCTCCGCGTCTTCCTGCTGCAGGAGCCGTCCGCCGGCGAGGGACCCGCCACCGTCGCCCTCCGCAACTGGAGCAGGCAGATGCACGACGGCAGGGAGAGCACAGTCGCTCCTTCAAAGGTGCTTCAGGCGGTGTCGCGCAAGCACAAGCGGTACTCGGGGCGGGCGCAGCAGGACGCGCAAGAGGTGCTTCGCAACTTGCTTGAGCTCGTGCGCGCCGAGGAGGTCGCACGCCTCAAGGAGAGCGAGCGGCGCGACGCGGCGGTCGCGGGTGGAGGAGAGCGAGCAGCTAGCGGCTCGCCGTCTCTCTCTGCATCGCTCGCCGGCCTCGACTGGAAGGCGCGGCGGCGGATGCGGGCGGCGGCGCGGCTGGGCAGCAAGTCCTCCCGTGGCAAGAGCGCGAAGGAGGCCGAGGGCGACGAAAAAGAAATCGAGCCGACCCCGGCGAGACAAGAAAAGAGACACGTCCGCTCGCGCAGCTGGTCCGGTAGCGACGAGTCACGGAGTGTGCCCGCCTCGTCGGCCCGCTCCTCGCACGCACGCTCCTCGTCCGCCGACCTCACGCCGCGAGGTGCCGCCGACGGTGCCGACGGCGCGGGCGGCGGCGGCGGCGGCGGCGGCGACGCAACCGACACTGCGCCCACGGACGAAGACGCGTCGGACCCTGAGCGAGGCGAGGCTGGCGGCGATCTTCTGGCGGGCGGCGAGGGCGACGGCGAGGCGGCTGCCGGCGAGGGCAGCGGCGGCAGCGGCGCGGCGAGTGGAGACGCGACGCCTTCCCGAGCCGCCGACCCGACGACCGCGGTGGACACCATCTTTGGGGGGGCAATGCGCTCGACGGTCGTCTGCTTGAGCTGCCGCGCGGTGTCGACCAACCGCGAGCCCTTCCTCGACCTCTCGCTGCCGATCGCGGCGTGCTGTTTGGAGAAGGGCAAGGAGAAGGGCGGCAAGGAGACGGCGAGGAACAAGGGCGGGGAGGAGCAGCGGCCCCCCACGGGCGGCGAGAAGCGCAGAGGTGGGGGCGGCAGCGGCAGCGGAGGCGAGGGCGGGGAGGAGGAGGGCGGCGAGGAGGGCGGCGGGGAGGGGGAGGGGTCCCAGGATAGCTCCGACAGCTGGGTGGTGGTGGACACCGCGACCTCCGGCGGCGACGCGTCTGCCGGCGGCGAGGCGGCGTGCGGCGGAGAGGAGGAGCGTCTGCACCCAAGCTACTCACTCCTCACCGTAGCCCCCTCCCCCCCCCCTCCCCCCC